CAAGTCTTTCAGCAAGAGACTAGGAGAACTTCTGCTGCTTTTACAATCATAAACTGCTGTCAGCATTCTCAGCAGTTGCCCAGTTCATACATTATCATTCTCCATGCAAACGTATCTTACAAAACTGCTCACATGGGAGCAAATTACACAAGTGATGCAATTGCAATATAATGATTGAATAAGAATGTAAGCAGAAAAGTTCTCTGCTCAAGTCTCATTAGAGCCAAGAATTAATTACATAGTCATAGTCAAGTTAGAGCCTCTTGGGTTTAGTTCCCTATCTCTACCATGAGGATAATCTTCTTTACAAAACTGAAGATTAGTCAGATAGGTAGGTAGACACATACATACATACATACATTACTATAAATTCTCAAAAAAGTGCATATATAAACATTAAATTATCATATTTATCTATTATGTGAACCAAAACCGAAGATGTTTTGATTTGACAGACAAGGGTCACTGCCCATTACAGATGCAAAGAATGAAATTCTGACTTGTAATTATCATCACTAAGAGCCAACCTTGCACATTATATGTCTAAAACAATAACACTAAGAAGAAGCAAAACAAATTCTTAGGACTCCATATATCCATTGGAAATTTTTGAAGAGTTTTAATTAAAAAATCATATAGTATTAAAAGGTCATTAAGCCCTGGCCATAAACTACTGATTGTTTCTATGAAGCATCATTGATGAAGAAGCAAATCCATCAACTTCTCTACTTATAAAATTTAGTTCTAAATGTGGCTTGAATTTGTTTTGGGTTTTCTGCTTAGAGCTACTAGGTCAAACTTTCAAACGGATCTTTCTAACACCAAAGCTAATTTATTTTCCACTGAATAAACACTTTTTAATCCTATATTGTATACTCATTACTCTATCTGCATATACACACATAGATTAAACTCTAGTCCTTCACCTGAGTTAAGTACCAACTATTTACTCCTTACTATCAGTGGAATGAAGGCATGAGGAAACATGTTTGAATTAAAGTTATAGTCTTTATTAACCATAACCAGGATATACAATAAGTGTAACGTCACAACCCAAAATCACACTGAGCTATCTACTGTCTCCCAACTTTGAGTGAATCTTGTAAAGTTGTTATCAAATGGCATTTTTTTCTGTGACTGAAGGGGAAAATAATCAAACACATGACTAGAAAGTAATAATGTTTAATTAAATATAAATGTAAATAAAGGGAAATAGAAAGTTATTTTTGTCTTGGTTTTTTCTCGAATAGTTTTTAGAATGTGGCCATCAACATGTTATCCAAAGACAAAATGTAGCCCAGACATAGCTACATATACCAGACATAACATAATGAACAGACACTTTCCAACCTAGGCCTCACGTTTACAAATCTTAACTCTTATATCAAGTCCATACTGGCACTAGCCACAACCCAAAATTTGATTTGGGCTTTTAAACAACTGTCCATATTGAAGACAGTCAAAGAAGGGTTTTGGCCTCCACTAGGTATCTGCACTTGGTTTAACATAAGAATTGTTCTATCTTCTGAGGCAGACAATGTTTCAGAAAAGTTAAATGAATCCCAAGACCTGTGGTGATGCCCCTTCCTAACATACAACATAGATAGTTTTGAAGGAAATGTCCATGGAAGTCAGGACAAGTCACAAGAACCAGAGATCAGTGGTAAATCAGCCAGCTTGTATTTACAAGTCCCTAGATTCAAAACTTGGCATCTAGAGTTTCAATGATCAGGTAGCAGGAAATGAGGAAAAAAGAGTCCTCTATCTGTTATTATCTATCTAGTTGACAACATTTATTATTTTGACTGGAGAACTGCAGCCAATTTCAACAGCAGTCAAGAATAAACTAGATGGACAAACGGATAAGTCTAAGGCAATTTCTTATACAATACTGCATTTCTCTGTGTTAAAACTGCCATAGCATCAAAAAGATAAAGTTGGAGCTAAGGCTGCTAAGAAAATCTCTGAAATAAATAGTATTATTCAAATAATGATTCATGGACAAGGAAAGTGCTATTGTGTACTGGCCCTGATTGTATCCCCAAAGTGTGGAACAATTTCATTGTGAAAAAGATTTAGCTTGTCTTTCTTATTAATCTTGATTCAGGTGAATCTTCAGTATTGTCATTCTGCCAATTTGTATGGCTTTGATAAGGCTGTCCACTGCAGTTCCTTCAAAATATGATTACACAAACATTTTGATATTGTTATTTTTAGTTTGCTGAATTTTGAGACACTTTCTATATGTTTTATATGCAGCTTTGAGGATATGCATGTGTCTATGTATGACTCTATGTGTAGAAAAGAGCTTTCAACATTTTATATACAAAAGCAATAAACCATATTAATCTGGCCCTTGTGGAAAATGAGATGATGGGTCTGATTATCCTAAAATGATATGATGATGAACCAGATTTTCTACCTGAATATAGAAAATTCAAGCTCATTACTTTTCACTAAGCTCAATAGGTGAAACTGGGTAATTTTCAGCCCCTCATGACTAGTTTAGCTAAGCAGATCTCATGTTTTATGTTTCATGCCTTGATCTCTCAGTACTTCATACTCTTAGATCAATAGGTTTATAAAGATGAACCTGGAATGGCTCATTCCCACAAGCAGGTCATTAGTGCAGCCATCAAGTGACGACTGTGCATCTCTTGAATTGAGCTTCAGTTTAAGCTACCTTGCAATATTGTTGTGAAGATGAAATGCATAGTACACCAAGAAATCTTTGGAGAAAAGCCTAGATATGAGTTCTATAAACAAATTGTGCTGTGTTTCATTTTGCTCTAAAGCACTTAAGAAGCAGTGCTCTAAACCACTGGCCAAAAAAAGGAAACACCAGAGTGGTCTTGAACAAATGTTAGAAACTCATTTGCATCCCCCATACCAGTGCTACAAGAGTAATCAGCACTCATTTGGAAGACAAGGTAGCCTTTAGGCAAACTGCAGAAATGTCTTCTGGCATGCTACCCCATGAAGTGAACAAATAGCTCCTCAATTACATGTATTCACCAGTGACTGAGCTGTTAAGAGGCAAACGATATGAGTTACTGCCAAGCACACTTCATGCAAGGCTCCATAAACATGCTCTAATACAAGCCTAGTTATTACCAGGTCACCTGCAAAATAGGTGGAATAGGTAGGAAGTCAAATTCTGAAGTTGATGCATTTAGGATTAGAAACACCTATTGCCTTAAATATTCAGCAAGTCCAAACTAATCTTAACTACTGTGTGGTCAGTTCTAGGCTGCTGATCCAATAAAGAATTCCCTTAATGTTTCACAACAAATTCAGCTTCTGACTCACAGGAAGGACAGAAATCCTTTTGACCCAACTACACCTCTGAATAACAAGGTTCAAAAGTACATGCAACTGGACGTCTCTGAAGCAGGCTGGTACTATGCAGAATTAGGTGTGTTAGTCTAAACTTATTAACACACACATCAATGGATTTAAATATGTCTTAATTCTGCATAGGACTGGAATATGGAAGGGACTAGAAGTATCAACTGGTACATGAATCAGAGTAGCCTGAAATATATGGCAGACAGGGCCAAGCAGATGAGATGGCAAGATACACAGATAATAGTCCCTTGATCATTTAAATGCAACCCTGTTATAGGAGGAGGACTGCAAATTTGAACAAAGTAGTATATATCAAAAGAGGCTTTAAACTTTTTCCAGCAGAACCACTCTCACAATAAATACAGACCTCTGCTCTTGTCCCATCTGTATGGTAAAAGGCCTGTGAATCTTTTTGCTGGAAAAGAGCTGAGGGCAGCAATTTTGAATGTAAATTTTTTCTTCTGGAATATTTCCCTTAAACCTACCATGCCCCTAGCTGTCACAAAGGCTTTTTAAAAAAGAATCATACAACACAATGGATACAGACTTCAGGAACTATGATCAAACTAATTTCCAAACTGATCACTTGTTCTTGATATTTGATGTAATTCTACCTAATTTAAAATTCCTAAAAAAAAAAGATGAGCAACCATTTGTAGGATGAAAACTCCAGAATCTTCCAGAAACTCCAGTTAACAAAGCATTGCCATTAAAACAAAAAAAACACAGACCACAAAATGTATTAACT